GCCATTTCCTTTCCAAAAGACGTATGACAGTTTCAAGTAGCCTATAACCTTCTTACACATCTATAAAACAAAGAAAAAAAGTTTCATCGAAAACGGTGCACTCGTTTTACCATGAAAAGCAAACAAAAACACGTCTGCGAGCGTTACCGACAGACAGAAATTGAGATAAGGCTTGTTTCGGCTTCTCTGGTGTATGAAACGGGAAGATATGGTATTCTCCCACTTAGAAGTGTTCCTCTCCTTTTCCACCCGAGCCCGGCATGGGCAGGTGGTTAGGACGCTTGACTCTGAGAGTTGTGGGTTCGAATCCCCAATCCACCAAACATGCTTACCCTTTAAGCTGTGGGGGCATTATAATGTGATGGTCAGTCCCACTATTTGTTGGTAAAAGAGTTGCCAGTGGGTGGGGATGACTAGCTGCATTCCCTCTAGTCTTTCACCACTAAATTAGGGCCAGCTAGCGCAGATAGCTCTTGTGTAGATCTTTGGATCTGACTTTCTCATTTTCAGAGGTATCCTTTGGACACTTTTGTGGGGTACTTCTATCATTCCCTCACACTGGTTCCTCCTATTCAATGTAGGATTCTTGTTAATTTTGTGAGAGGAGGTAATTACCAAATTGGAAGTTATAATTTTCCTATACTGGAAATGTATATCCAATAAGTACTTACCTCCTTTCACACTTCCTCCCCGCTTTCCTCTGATGCTTAAGTCTTCTAACAAACTTCAAAGTGATAGTTTGGTAGAGGAGTATAGAGGGAGTCACCTGCATCATGTGAGCATGTCATGTTCCTATTGGTGGAGAAGTGACGCATGATGATTTGCATGAGAGACACGTTGGAATTTTTCAATTCCAATACGGTAAAGAATAGCTAATTTTGTGAGAGGAGGTACGTACCATATCGGAAATGCATTTTCAGTGTAGGAAAATTATAACTTAATTGCTAGTTTTCTGTATCAGGCACAGGAAAATCACTTTATTGTGTACAGAGTTGTGAGTGAAAACAAATCGTGAGAAAGATAAATATTTCATGTCATCGATCAGCTTGAAAACCAAACATTCTGCTAACTTTTTCTCTGTCTGTCGTTGATTCTGTTTATTCAATGTAGCCTGATTTACAACTTATATATCTTTTTTTTAATATAGCAACTTGTAATATTGGTTAAACTACCTTTTACCACTGTTGGAGTGACATAAAATCAACAATATACAGAGTTCAGAATTTCATGCAGATCCATGGTTTCCTATGAATTTTTGTGTCTCAGGGGTCATTCCTGTGAATCATGTAAATTATAGGAGAAAATTTCAATGGGAGAGGAGGCCTCTGTGAATGTTGAAGATTCCTAAACTTGGTTCGTTTTTTTATTTTGATCTATTTTTTACAGTCTTTTACTAAGTTGTACATGCTTATGGGTTTGCTTGATGATTTTTAGATTAAATTCAATTCTGAATCATTTCTAATCTAGGTGCATTATGGAGTAAACATTGTTTTAAGTTCCTAGCATTGATAGCATCTGCTAAAATGCATCAAGTTTTGAAAAGAATTGACAACAAGGAACACCATAAGGTTCGAGAGATCAATAACAATGGTAGAGAGACTTGGAGGAGGGCATGGATGGATAAAGGTGTCAAAATCAAACTGAAA